GTAAGAGTCCTCCCATACCCACGGCGTCACAGGGCCTCGTAGTTTTACAGACCTTGAGCAGGTATCAACAGAGCTTCAGTCCAGCAGACGGAGAATTCTAACCCAACATCTCACCCATGTGCAAGACTTCCAGCAGATCTTTAAACAATCTAAACCGAGTACATTCCGTTTCACGTGCGTTTCCTGCTTACTGTACATATTTATAAGTTCTTTCTTTCTTTTTTCTCTTTTGGTTTGAGTTGCTTCTTTGTTTTTATTGCTTCTCTTCAAAGGAAAGGATCTGTGTTAGATAATATTGCCAGCAACCCTGCAGGTGCAGGCACAAGGTGCGTGCGCTAGAAATAAAATAAGCTGTTGCTTCTTGCACCAAGCGTTAATGCCTCATATTGATACACCCTCTACATAGCTTGCCATATGCTTCTTTTGACATACCCCCCTCCACCCCCCTCTAGCATGTTACCACGCCTCAGCTATCCACAGAATCGATCATATTTTCGAGGTTTTGAGGCGCTGGTAGTTATCAGGTGGGGTACACAAGGTGTCATCACTAGTATAGTCTTGGGATGCACCTAGGCAGCAAGACAGAGACGCCGCCTATCTAGTCCGAAGATTGGCAGTCCTATCCAGCCTTGGCCTACTACGGTTTTGCTCCAGGGCGTTAGCTAGGGTCAAAGCACTTTTCTTTGTCTTGACTGTGGTTTTCTGTGGCCGGCTACGTGGTTGCTAAGGTGCCAGACATTAGCCACAAATGCAACATATCAGACAAACTACCCGCAGTGGAGCATAATTATGGCACGTGTTTGTCAATTTAGGCCCAAAGTTGCAAGGAGAAATCCGAATAAACAGAATTAAGCTTAACACTGGAATTTCATCGGGAACAGAGGCTCAATAGAGCGAGATCAAAACCGAAGAACCAGGCAGTGAAACCTTACGCCTGCCCCTGTTTGACAAGTGAGGGCCAAATCACCCAAACTCTGGCCAAAAATTATCGAGTTCGGCTGTACCTTGGCGTTTTGGAGCTTTAAGGGCTCTAAATTCCAAGACAGAGCATTTTAGCCCAGAATCCTGCGCTGACTAGGCATGGTCTCTCAATTCCTGTCCTCTTTCCTCTGAAGTTTCTTGAACAGTCCTTCACCCCCCCCCCCCCCTTCAAATCGGCCCTTGTTTATTCACGGTCCTAAAACCTAAAACTATCTGCTAACTTGTGCGGGTAAATTTTACTTACTGGTCTTCTTAAAGAGGATCTGACACCCCAAGGGCCGTATTTTTTTATTGTCTAAAATGATGATAATTGTAGACATAGATACGAAAAAAAAACTCATCGCGAGAAAAAAGTTTTTTAACGCGCGCGCGCCATTTTATTTTTGGCGCTCTCCTCTGCCACTCCTCGCCCCCTCGCTTCTTCTGATTCGTGACGTAAAAAAATCATGAAATTTAGAAGCTTTGTAGGCGGCATTTTTATAACATTTAATAACGGCTATCGTAAAACATGTTTTTTAACGCAAATTGCGACCGCACTACGGCCCTTCTTTTTGAAATGCCAAACATCGGAGTCCGGTCTGATGTCACCTTCTGGATTTGTATCTTCCCTCAGAAAACAAGCGACACCCACTGATCTCTATGTCTATTTGCTGGATCGCGTTTGACCAGCTCCGTCTATGGACGGGAATGCGGCCACGGTCGGCCGTCTTCTTGGTAGAGTTATATTATCTCTGGCCATCATAGTAATATGGCGGACAGCGCAATGGCGGCAGGCTGCCAGAAAATAGCCGTGGATCTTGTACACTGTACCGCGGGTGATATTTCATGCTTGATTGAAGTTCTACGAAGCAGATTCTTGAAACCGGGCCTAAACGGTAGCCTCATCTTTCAGGACCCGGCGGAAGTTCTACAAAAGCGCAGCACCGTGGGAAAGGGCAGCACAGCCGGCGCAGCTTGGATCAAAAGCAGACTCCGTACCGGCGTCTGCTTTCGATGCTTCTTTCGATGCGGCTTTCGATGCGTGCTGTGCTGCTTCTTTCTGGTGCTGCGATTTCGTCAAACTTTCACCGAATCCTCAAAGATCGGGCTACCGTTCATGCCAGGTTTCAAAAATATGTTTCGTCAAACAATTTCAATCAAGCACGAAATATCCCCCACGCTATTTTGATGGCAGCCTGCCACCACAACTGACACAACGATGTGTGCCATGGATGGATCATGGATGATAGTGGCTGCGGCAGCTGTACCTTGGCTAAAGGTAATATAACTCTACCAAAAAGATGGCCGCCAGTGGCCGTATTCGCAGAGCGGGCAAACGCGATCCAGCAATTGTCATAGAGATCAGTGGCGACACCGCTCAAAACCGTTTTTTTTTCGGTCCGCCGGCGCTCGCTCCTTTCCTCCTCGCTTTGGGTCGCGATGGCAACAGCACGGAGTCGTGAAAGAAAGTGGATCCTCAGGACTCCGCAAAATTTGACGTCAACGCACAGACGCGGATCGCGCGGGAACTTCAAATTCGGCTTTTGGAAATTGTTTTTTTACTTCACAAATACTGAATTCCCAAGTTTCGAATTTTGAGAGTAATGTCCCGGAATTGTTTTCAATCGTCTCGGATAATAAAAAAAAAAATTGACGTGTCAGTGTCCTTTTAGGTACGGCAATACAATATTCCTCTCCGTTAATATTGAGTGACTCAAACCAAATCTTTTCTTTCAGCTAGTACTTAGGACCAACCAAGATATAAAAACTGAAGTAAGAAGCTACAGATGCAGAAACACTAGTAAATCTTCAAACGGGTCTTTCTTAATGCAACTCAGCTCCGGCGCGCCACTCTTAAGAAATCTTAAACACTTTTTATACAAAACCGACTGTTCCCGAACTTTCCTTAAACGAAACAAAAACAGCAAAACATTCACATATTTAAAAATGTGTTTGTGACGTATGCATCTTAGATCAAACTTATTGCGATTGTTTCTCTTACCTCAGTTCTCAAGAATCTAATTACTCACTTCCCATACAAACACACATTCGCTGCATCAGTTGCTTTACATTGAAAACAAACTAGGTAGATAGAAACATAAAACCGTATTTACCGGTATTTTGTCGCCAGACGGTGCATAGTCCGCAGGAGAAAATTTGGGGTAAAAATAAAAGTTTTTCGTTTAGAGAGTCCGCACCCGGTAAATAATCCGCACCCCGTGCATAGTCCGCATATAGTACCTAGTTCAAAGTATCATACACAGCACAAATTGCCAAATCTATAATAAATTAGCTCGCAAAGAAGCTTTATCGTACATAAATCAACATTAATATAGCCGTTATTCATAAAATACTTCAGGACTTGACACATTGAACGATTCAGAAAAAAAAACAAAAAAACAAATCATTGTATAGTCCGCACCTGTTGATAGTCCGCATCGGGTGAATTTCCAGCTGTTAAACATGTACCGTCCGCGGACTGTAGTCCGGAAAATACGGGAATTGCAACGACCGCTTAATTTTGAAACTTTACAATTTTGTATGTTTTAATAGCCAGTTCAATCCCATTCATTTTTGCTACATGTGATACTAAATAAAAATTTCAGCATCAAAACATACTGCATCGAACGGCCTCGGGATAAAATTTTTCAGAAATTCAATCAGCCTGAATTGTTCTCCATAAAAAAATTATACATATGTAACAAAACAAAAAACGAGTGGCTGAATCACCGAAGCATAATTAAGTAAAGCACCCTCAAAGGCCATCAACCGACTACCACGAATAATGTAATGGCCATGGCAAGTGCTTGAGTTGTCATCGATGAAAAAGGTGTAGCTTTAATATAAAAAAGGGTGAGTAAGAAGCCAGAAAATAATACTGAATTAATAGGTCAAACCAATTTTGTTTTACGGATTCTCATAAATTTGTTTGTTATCTTTTTTATGTTATGACCAGGTCTTTGAGACCATTGTGTACCGTTATATTTCAAGTCATATTTTCATGTTTAATGTTAGAATTTATATTATTTTATAATAGCGTATTACTTTAAATCACGCACACTAGCTTATGCTGTTCAAGCGCTCTCCTGCATGCATTTCTGCAGAAGCTAATGGGCAAGTGCATAAGCACGAACTTTAAACGGGGTTGTGTGATCAAGATGATTGTTTAAATGCAGGAATACCTCCGTCCTGCTAAGGTCCGACATGCCGCTGCCATGGATAAACACAAAACATTGGTATCTGAAGTTTCATTATTTTCTCATCTTTGCTGGTGAGTACTAGGGTTGCAATAAATGCATTGTTAATCACATCCTGCACATTTTTTTTCAAATATTGAGGAATACGGATTTTTGTATTTACTACCAGTTTACAATGCGTGTCACAGTGAAATGTATCTCTCACAATATACCCTAATATCCCGAGAGATACTCCACCCCCGAAAAATAGCCCTCCTCTCTTTGTTCTACAATTTCCTATTTTTCAAAGAAAAAAAAAACACACTCCAAAAGATAGTTTACTTTTAGCCATGCAGGGCCCTGGGAAGCGGTGACCTTGACAGAAATGCTCAACTTAGCTATGACAGGAGATGAGCTATCGCTATTTACTGAGAAGGACACTGGTCTTTGACTGGTTGCAATCAAAGGTTTCAAAGGTCACAGAATCTAAAATAGCATATTTTTCCAACTTTCTTTGTTCGCACACCAAAACTTACCGCGCTAATTATTTTCATCCGATTTCCTTTCGATTTTATATGGTCTATCTCATGGGATATTACAGTAAAGTTTTATAATTGTTTCGAAGTTTCTGCTTGTATATCACCATACATCATGCAGCTAAGTGCTCAACTTCTTGTTTCAAAATATATGAATGCATAAAGTGTAATATATAATATTGTAATTTTAACACATCTCACCCTAGTAAATAAAACATTGTTGTTGAAAATGCTAAGATAATTATGCTTTTCTCCTTCTTCAGCCGTGGGCTGCGTTCTGCCATACGGGTCAGCCATTGGTCGGAGAAACGGAATCCCTGAAGCAACCATGGCCTACATTTTAACTGTCACACCTCTGCTCGCCATTCCCTGGAAGATTTTAATGGGATACATTGCTGACCGTACGCAAAGCGTAACCAGAATCTTGCTGACACTTCAATGGCTTGCAATCCTATTCAACGGCCTTCTCTACTGTAGTGACTTCATAATCAAAACGACCGAACCAAAGGGGGAGGTATCATGCCCAGTAGGAAACGTGACGCTTTTGAACTCATTTTCAGCGTGCATTAAATCGCCGGAGAAGTGTTTCCTTTCGTGCCCAATGGATTCAACCGAATTCAGCGAAATCGATATAAGCAACATTTTTCAGAACACATCCACTATTTGCCACACCCTCTGGAATGGCACGTCTGGCTGCCACAGCAGCACCTGTCAGTTCGAGTGCCCTTGCACAGCAGGTTCGACAGATCAACGAGTTGTGTGGTTCTATGCCGTGTTTCATGCGCTGGGGTCGTTGTGTTCGGGGGCTCTGGGTGTTATCTCTGACGCCGGCGTTTCTGAGATACTGGGTGAAGATGTGAGGGACTTCGGATGGCAGCGAACGGGAGGGGCTATCGGCATGGGAGCCGCTGGTCCTATCGTGGGAGCCATGATCGATGAAGCCAACCGATGGACTGGAGGACGATCAGGTTACCTTCCAAGCTATTTCGTCTATGCACTAGTCATTATTATGGACAGTGTCCTTCTCTGTTGCATGCCCACTCTTCGGATGCCCAAGCTATCGGTCAACTTTTTCAAGGACATCTTTGTGGTGTTCACCAATGTGGAACTGGCCGTATTCGCCTTCTGGACATTCGCCCTCGGAGCCTTTTTTTCAATCTCCATATCGTACAACACGTGGTTCTTGGAGGACATAGGAGCGTCTAAACTGATAATCGGATTAATATCCGCAGTCAGTTGCGTGTGCGTAGAACTACCCTTCTATTCTGCGTCAGGTTGGATTCTGAAAAAAACTCGCTATTATCCCTCGTATATATTTACGTTCTTGACCTTCGGTGTGAGGTACATTGGATGTGCCTTTCTCTACAACCCGTGGTTCGCGCTGCTCGTCGAACCCGTCACCGGGGCTGCACTTCCGCTCACGGTACCCGCCATGACTGTGTTCGCTAAAGAGGTGGCGCCGGAAGGTACCGCGGCGTCCGTTTTGTGCGTCCTCAACGTTTGCTTCGAAGCCATCGGTAAGTTTTACACACGCTCAAGTATGCCATAGTAAGCAACAGCTTAAGGAGCAAAGGGCGCTTTGCAGCTAATGAGGTTTCGGCATTAGCAGACAAGAACGACGAAGAACCAATCACGAAGCTAGTAGTGTGAACATATTTGTGCCGACCCTGCAACATACTAGGCTCCACAAGGCGCGGGCGCCTCGCAAGGGCTTATCACCCTATTGATGCTCATTATTAACACGAAGACAAAGGTTGAAATACTACAAATATAATCACTCGCTTAAAGGCCAAGCAGGTTTATATACGTATAGACCGACACGCGGAGCGGCTCTGTTTACCAACACGGCCGGAAGGCCGCGCATGCGCGGTAGCTATGTGGGCAAAAGCGACCCGGCCCTCCGTGTTTTCGCGATTGCGTTGTGTGGCGTGCGCTCGTTGTTGATGTTGTAGGGACGCTTCTAGCTTTATTTGTGAACCTTATTTCCTGGCAACGTATGTCGTATGCTATGCCCGACTATTTGAGCTCGCTGCCCGAGCCTTAACGGCGGCGGTATCGAAACAAACTATGCGTGGACGGCGTTGCCTACGAGGATCCGTACGCCGTAAACAAGGCCTGCTGGACTTCCGACATGAAGTTGTTGCCACCGAAGTCGACGGCTCACGTCGTTGTTTATTTAGTTTTTTCGCCAAGCCAGTTCACGGCCGACACGGAGCAGGCGTACAAGTCTCTCAAGGCCTAGGAATACTTCGAGTCGGTTTCCGCACTGCCGGCGGGATCAGCAGGCTGTGGCTCTGCGGAAGCGTATTTATTAATTAAATAAATACACACAGCGTCTTCAATTCAAGGCACGCTATTTTTCCTACTCTCATGACCACAAGGCATGACAAGTAGTAACGCTTTGTCCGTTCTGCAGTCTTGGCGGTAACAAGTTACAAGTAACGGCGTTACCAGGAACGCGTTACTTTTTTCAGTAACGTAGTAACCTTCTCGTTACTTTTTCTACACAGTAACTTACGTTACTATTTCAAGTAACGTAGTTACGTTTCTCGTTATTACAATTACACTTCAAGTTTTTCCCTGTTTTTAGGCTTGACGCCATGTTTTTCTTTGCGTTTTTTCTCGTCAGTATTTAGGTGAAACCGTAAAAAGAGATAAAGTAATTATGTTCTGTTTCTGCATGAACATAACATTTCTTCATGTATGAGCTTATGCATACCTGTATCGTCAAAACCGTGAAACGTGTTAAATCATAATTTAAAAAGTAACGCAGGGCAGAAGTAACGTGCTTTACTTTTTATCGGTAGCGGTAACGCGTTCCTTTTATTTTTAGGTAACGTAGCTCAGTAACGCGTACCTTTGATTTGCAAGTAACGAGTAACGTATTTCGTTATTTTTTTATATATATATATTTTATTTTTTTTGGTAACGCCCACAACACTGCCGTTCTGTCGCCGATCCCCTTCTGCGTAGCTCGGGCGTAGCGAGCCTCCGACGAGCGCTTGGCCGGTGCTTTCTGCGCGAACACCGTGGGAACAAAATCCGGGTGGTCTCGATAAGAGGACGGTCTCCCGGTTCATAAGCAAGCCTCGGGACGGAGATTCAAATGGAAGCCGAACTTGCCTCCAAGAAAGTGCTTGCCGCACAAACGCGCGAGGCGATTATAATTTTCGATCCACGGATATTATCCACCTTCTATGCCTTTCAAAGTCTGCCGGGAACTTGTAGAACCTCACTCCGCTACTTTTCTTGTACATTTAGGTGAGATTAACGGCATCACAGCTTCGCGGCATGCTGAAATACTATGACGCCCATGCGAAACGTGCGCCCTTTTGCCCACACCCCTCGGCTCCGGCGCGATCGCAGCGCCGCCGCAGCGCCGTGACGTCAAGCCCGCGTGTCGGTCTATACAACCAGTGCTTCCTATACACCTCCAGTGCCCGGCAAAATGGTTGCAAAAAAATGAGCCGCCGCCTTCCTCGCGAGTGCGACCTTTCGCCACGAGGGGCGCCGCTGGAACGAGGTCCTTGATCGCTGCCACTGTTGTACCCACTGTACACGCACGGTAGTGACTGCAAAGAACAATCTCTACTCTCTGTCGTAATTACAACGTGCTTACGTTTTGTTTGACAGTATTATGCTATTGCACTGAAAACAGGCGTACTTTATAAAGCGCCCATCCCCGCCTCTCTCCCCTCTCACTCCCCTCTCAAAAAAAAAAAAAATTTTTTTAACGCAATTTGCATACATTTTAGTAGCACGTGTGGCATTTCAGCGTCTCTTCACGGCAAGATCGCGAAAATATGTCGAACGACGAAGACAAAATAGACCAAAGTAGGGGGTGTAGACCCCGTCTAGCGTGCCTGGATTTGAGAACCTTCCCAACTGCTCAATCAGGGTCACGTCATTTGCGTTCGCTTTCGCCTTGACACAACACAACGCAAGGCATGCTCACCCGCAAGATGTCCTCCCAGTAGGCTTACGCCATTCAATGGCTGACGTTTTCCGTGGTCAGAATTGTCCCCTCTAGACGATCTAGGCAGACCCCGTTAACACAACGCCCTCACGCGGTCGCCACGAGCGGTCGCACAACGGTCTCGGGAGGCCGTTTTACCAAGCGCTGAAAGTATATAGGAGGAACTCGTACATGCAAGGAGCGAAAGTGTGTAGGGAAACTGCTTAGAATACATCATAATCTAAACCCTTCGTGTTTAATATATTTCACATTGCATCTATCTAAACCAGGTGTACATTTCAGTGGGCCCGCCCGCAGTATGCAATACCGCAAAAAAAAAAAAAAAAAACATTAATAAATAAGCATTACACACAAAGTCGTTGTATAGTCCAATGATCAAAATTGAGTGAGAAGCAGCTGCTGAAACAGATATGAAAATAGCAATAAGACAACGAAAATTAGAGCATAAAACACCTAAAATATTCACAGTTTTCTATTAAAAAATGAAAGACGTTTACTATTCTCTAATGCCGAATTAGAGCACAGCTTTTGAGGAGGAGGAGGAGGGAAGGGTGCGGAGAGGAGGAAAGGGTACGGAGAGGGAATTTACCACGATATTGTGGGAGAATTTCACGGTAAATTCCCGAGCTAAATTTAGCGGGAAAATTTTCCCGCTAAACTTAGCTGGGAAATTTTTCCACCAAATTAGCGGGTAAATTTTCCCGCTAAATTTAGAGGAAAATGTTTCTTCTAAATTTGTGGGAAACTTTTCCCGCTAGATTTGGCAGAAAATGTTTCCGCTAAATTTAGCAAAAAAATGTCCCGGCTAATTTTGGCGGAAAAATTTCCCGGCTAAATCTAGGGAAACGAATTTCCCCACTACGTTTAGCGAGAAACTTAACCGCAAAATAGCGGGAAATGTTTCCCTAAATTTGGCGGGGAAATTTCCCCGCAAATTAAGCGAAAAAATTTCCCGACAAGTTTAGGCACCGTGTGACGTCAGGAGGGTCACGTCACTCATGACCCTCGTGACGTCACACTCGCCGTGATTATAGAAAACGTCCCATAATGCAAAGCGCGGTTACGCCGACGGCAACGCCGCTCAAGCCGGAGATGGACGCATAAGAGCTGCGCTCTAAAAACATATAAGAAAAGCGTTACGAAGCAACAAGTGACGTATTTGTGCAGTAAAGACAGGAAAGTATCGTCACCAAAATGCTAATTAAAAAGCAGAAAAATAGAAAATTATGTAATGGTTACGGGTTCAGGTTACGGATTTAAAGGAAAGTCACATGAACGGCAAAAAGGACCAAGGAGGGGAGAAAACATCCTTCCGACTGACAACTTGAACATTTATTCAAGTTCGTCGATGACGCTGATCGCGTCAGCGGCGGCTTGACTAAACAGAAAAGGGGAAAGGCGAAGTGACGGGCGTGAAGATATGGCTTTCGACCACCTATGTGGGCTGCAGCTTGTTGACGAAACTATGTGATATCCATGTTGCAAAGGCTGAGAGAGCAGGAACCTATGTTACCCAGGACTTGTCGCTTGGAGAAAGCCTCAATTATGTCCCAGCCATACCGTGACCTGTGAGCTTGTGGAAGCCCCTGGCTCCCTTTCTCTAATCCGGCCTTCGGGCCGCGTGCGCGACGTGTGGAGCCGCCTGGCTTCCGACCGGAGCGTAGCTTATCGTGGCCACGAGAGGCAGCCATCTTCGTTGTCCACTCTCGCCACTCGTCCGTCCGTGTCCGCCGACGTAGGGAACTTCCCTCTGGCGGGCTCGCCCGCCTCTCGGGGACGAGGATGGAGCCGTCAGCAAGATAACGAGAGAGAGTGCGTCCTCTGGCCGCTCGGAGAGGGGACTGTTCTGCGGGACTTGAAACTGATCGGACGTGCGGCCACGCACCCTGCTGTCCCACCTCCGTCCGAGCTCTCGGGAAAGTACGGCAAGGTAAGGACACCCTCCCCCTTGCCGTTACTAGTCTTATTCTGTTTGTATTTAACCGGAGCCAATGAACACCTAGGTGCCCTTCTATTCTGTTTGTCCGTTCACTCTCTTCGTGAGTTCCGGCTAGCGGCTGCAGCCAGCAGTTGAACCCGTCGTAGCAATGACTCTGATCCGCTGCGGGTGGTGGTTTTGCGGTCGGCTTCTTATCCGGACGCCTCGTGCCCTTTGAGGTTTCCACAACCTTTAACTGTGCATATGCCATTGGGCTCTGGATCGCTACTTCTGTAGGCGTTGACATGCTGAGCTATCAGGTGGAGGCTCTGAACGGGATGCAGCTTGTGTCGCCTTATTATCCTGCTCCCTCAGGCAAAAACGGCGCTTAGCTGCATCTTAATAGACCGATCTCACCAGCCAGTTTGACTACGCCACCGCTGCCGCAATGCATCCAGGGAACTTTAGTCTTTCTGCACGTGCGCCAACCCCGCTGGAGCTCTGCGCGTGTGGGACATGAGACAGCAGGAGACCTCGCATGCACGGCCGTCTGCTTCCTCTTAGCTAAAGTTATGGCGGCGTCACGCATGCGCCGAACGCTTAGTGAGATCGGTCTATTACAA